GGCGTGCGCCGCGGGGGGCGTCGCTTGTGCGGCGCGCGTATCATCGGACGTCCGCACGCGGGGCATCAGCAGACAGGGATGCGGAATTCACTATTTACTACAGACCAACGCGCAGTGAAGTATGACAGCGGACGACAACACGCAAGACAGCACAGCCAGAGAGAGGGAGAGAGGGAGAGGGAGAGAAGGGAAAAGCAGGGCTCGGACTAGGTAGCTCATCGTAGCAGACACCCGAGAGAACAGTCACTGAGCCCGCTCAGTCGCATAGCTATGCCAGTGGCGCACAGAAGTCTGAGCGGCTGCAAACGGATGCAACGTAGACGAATAGGCATTAGTATTTGTCATGTGATGCTATTGAATGGGCGAGGGACGTCATGAGCGTCGGCGCAGATGCCACTCAAAAACGACGGCGACTCGCCTGGTAGCATTCATCCTCCAACTTGACAAAATTATTGTAGTCGTTCGCCGCGTGCGAATACGGTGACAGCAGATTTTGGGGAGCCGGCGCGGCGGCGGCGGCAGCGGTGGCGGGGCGGGTGTGTGCTTGCGCGGGCGGCTCGTAGTCGCTTGGCTGCTGGTGAGAAGAAAGAAATACGGTTACTAGGATCCAGAGTTCTCCAGGTGCGCCGATGTGTAAAACCACAAATCTGGCAGAGCGGAAGAGGTACTCGCCGAGAATGACGGGCTCGAGGTCGAGCTCGACCCAGAGGGAGTGCTTGGCATGGGGTAGCCCAGCAGGCCGTAGGAGGGCAGGAAGGAAGAGGACGCCGCCGTGCGCTGGTACGCGGCAGACAGCTGCGAGGCGGTATGTGAGTTGTTGTTCGTCGAGGGGGGTATCATCAGAGGGGGTGGGGCGGCGTGGGACTGCGAGTCCGTCGAGCTCTGCGACGACGAGGCGGAGTAGTTCTGCGGCGCGCGGTGTGAGTGAAGCATTGGCGGCGTGGAGCGGCCACGGGAGAGTACGCACCATGTAGAGCGTCGAGTCGGCCAGTCTCCTCCGTCGCCCGTCGCGGTCGCCGTCGTCCGCCAGGGTGAGGAGGTCTGTCCGACGCGTGATGTCGGGGCGGAGACGCGCGTTGCGCTGCTCGAGCTGGCGGCGGAGGTCGTCAATCTCGCGATGGAGGATCTCGTTTTCCTCTTCGAGCTCGCGGATGCGCACGAGCGGGGGCGGGAGGGTGGCGACCTGATCGGGGGAGAGGGCGAGGACGGTCTGGAGTTTGGTGACGGTCTGCTCGAGCTGGAAAGGAGAAGGAAGGTGGTAAGCGTCGGGTGGGGTGACAAGGTCCGCGGCGATGGGCGCACCTGTTCTATGTAGGCCTTTCGCTTTGCGCGATGCCTGGCCTGGGCTGGGAGGAAAGAAAGGGTGAGACGGGGGAGGGGAGGGGGCAGACATGGAGGAGGAGGAGGAGGAGGAGGAGGAGGATACCTTTGGCGTTCCTGGAACGCTCTGGGCGGTCGCAGAGGGACTGGTGGTCGGAAGAGTAGGCGGGGGACAAGGGCGTCATGTAACGTAAGGGAGGAAGGTGATCGGGGATGGGATGCGGAGGAGGATCAGAGGGAGGGTAGACTTATAAGAGAGAGAGCCGCTGGCGGTGTCGGGTAGGAGGAGGACGCAAGGAGGGGGGCCGAAAGGAGCAGGAGGAGCCCCCTGGAGCGGGCAGGTCGGTTCGGAGGGCAGGGCAGTGTACAGGGCGGACGGCCGTGGATCGAATCTGGAGGATAAAACAAAACAAAAATGGGTCCGCTCTATTGCGGATGGCGCGCATCGGATAAATCGTGGATCAGAGTCCGTCGGATAACTTTCGCAGACTGAGACGACTCTGGCCTCGTCCTGCCTAATGGTACAGACTCCGCGGCCGGGCGTCGTCGTCCAGACGGCTTGTGGGTCCATATCCACCGCCTGCCCTCTACACGGAGGCCCCAGTGAGGGGAGGGAGGCCAGTCAGTGCCGCGGGACATGCCGCCTGGTGGCTGCCTGGGCGACTAATCGCTTGTCCCGCCTGATGCCTGGAAGAGGAGGGCGAGCGTCCGAGCGCGCCACTGAGCTCCTCCTCGTTAGTGTGCGCCGCCTGTCGAGCACAGGGCCGCCGCTGGTGCGCGGACTTTACGATTCCGACCTGGCGCATGCGACCGCCTGGGCGGCGACCGTCGGCGGGCGCGCGTCTAGAGGTAATAGAATATGACACAGCCCATCTCGCCTCGCGAGATCGCGCGCAGCAGCAACGAGCCAGCGGCAGCCTGGAGCTAGTCCCCATCCGAGCCTTGCTCTTCGTCCTCCTCCTCGTCCTTCTCCTCCTCCCGCGCGCGTCTCTCGCCCCCAAGTGCCGCCCGTGGCTGGCGCCAGCCTTTCCCGTTTCTGCCCCGGCAGTTGCGCATCCTCAAACAGGCCGTCGACGAGAGCCTGGTGCCGGGCTGCCGAAGGGTGCGGAAGCATCTGCTCCTTTCCCGTCACAACCCAGCGGCTGGAGGCCCATCAGGCAGGGAGACTCAGATAGCCCGTTATCTGTGGGCCCCATGATGACCGCCCACGGACCCTGCCCATGGCCATCAATCCCACCTCTTATCCTTCCGAGCCCCAGCCCAACACCCCCCGCCCTGGCCCCTTGAACATCACCCAGCGGCTGCCCCCCATGACCGGCCGCGCCGCCTTCGTCATGGATACTGCTCGCGCGGGCGGCTAGCAAACTGCGATGCAATGAATGGGTGGATGAATGAATGGATGGATGGGATGAATGAATGAATGAATGAATTGCTCGCGAACGCACGGCGATGGGCCCGATGAATGAATGAATGCATGCATGCATGCACACAATGACGCACCGGACGCGGACGCAGACGCAGACGCGCACAGTCGAGACAATCAGCGGCCGCAAACGGTTAGGGCGCACGGGCTGTCCCCCGCTGAATGGGCAGCGTAAACGACGACGGGCGACGACGGCACGCGCGCACTGGCCCACAGGTCGCCGGCGCTTGCTGCACGCTGCACGCTGCACGCTGCCCCAAGCTCCGAGTGCATCAGTCGCTGATGGTCGCCCGGCGCTGCAGAGAGCAGGACGCGGCCGGGGGAGCGGGTCCGGGACGGGCGACTCGACTCGCGTGCGGCGGCCGGCCGC